CCAGGGTAATCATTTAAAAACGCACAGCTGACTTTGTTTTTGCTCTGCATTAACTACTTTAATGGCATTGCTCTTTAGAACAAGTCCAAATTCCTTAGCATGTGATGCAATGACCTCCTCTGTCACCGTACAAATTGGCCACGGTTCTTAGGCCACATGATTTCCCCCTTCTCTGGGGGATCTTACGCATTAGTTCTCTCAACATGTGCTGGGAGCAAATCCATGGGCAAAACCCTGAGCATGGGTACTGGCTGTCCTATGAGTCCCTCACGTTGAAAGCTTGAGGAATGTACTCTTGAGAGGAGGTGGAACCTAGAGGGGGCCTATTGGGGCATCTTTGGTCTTTGGGGACATACTCACAGTAGGGGTATGAGGTTCTGATCTTTCCTCATTCCCTTTCTTCTGGCTTGTGAGGTGAGACATTTTGCTCTGTAGTATATGCTTGCCATGAGGTAGAGGCTCTGCCTCACCCTGGACTGAAACAGTGTGTCCAGTCCACCACCACGGGCTGAAAACTCTGAAACTGTATTGTAGCTGGAGTTTTCTCCAGTCCTGCCTGGCTTACGGTCAGGACAAATCTCTCTCACTGCCAGTCCCACAGTCACTCAGACCCAACCGAATAAACACACAGAGACTTATATTGCTTACAAACTGTATGGCCATGGCAGGCTTCTTTTTATCTAGTTTTTCTATCTTAAATTAACCCATATCTATTAGTCTATAAGTTGCCACATGGCTCGTGGCTTACCGGTGTCTTAACATCTTCTGCAGCGTCTCTCTGCCTCAGCCTTCCACTTCCCAGAATTCTCCTCTCTGCTTGTCCCGCCTATACTTCCTGCCTGGCTACTGGCCAATCAGCATTTTATTTATACAGAGTGATATCCACAGCACTGTATGTCCAAACCAAGCTTTTCTCTTTGTAAGTTGATTAATTCAGAATCTTGGTTGTAGGAAACTAAATGCACGTTTAATCGCACTTGGAGGGAGGGAAACATCACACCATCAACACACATACAATTGCTTTACACTTAAAGCTCCTCTAGAGCCAAAGATGGGGCTTGCCAATCATTACTGGTTGACACCAAGCATTTCTGGGGAGAAAACAAAGATTTTTTTTCTAATCTTAAAAAGATTTATTTGTTCTATTTGATGTGCATGAATGTTTTGCCTGCATGAATGTCTGTGCACCATATACACACTTGATCCCTGATGAGGTCAGAAGAAAGCATCAAATGAAGGAATTGGAGTTATCATTGGTTGTGAGCATACCAACAGGAAGATTTTGCAGATGTGAATTTGTCCAGCATCTTGGGGAGTTGTTAGAATGCTGCATGCTTCCCCCACAGTAGAGCTTATTGTCTCTTCTACCCAGAGGAGGAAGCCCCAACCTTTGCATGTGGGGGGAATATGAGAGCATATTATCACCCTGAAGGTCAGGGCTGCTTGTGCAGGTGGTTTCATCCTCTGCCTGTTGGTTATATTGTCCCTTGCAGTAACATCAGGAGAGAGACATAGATGGCTGCTAAAATAACGTGCTCCAAGGCACAGACATTTGGCAATGGGGCCAGGCTCCTGGCTCTGCTTTCCCATAGACTCTGTGACCTCTCTTAGCAGTTGTTTACACTGCTGCTCTCACAGTCTGTTTGCAGATCTGCACTCTTACTTTACTAAACACATCATTAGTGGAAAAGCAAATTACAGCCTTGATCTGTGTTGCTATCAAAGTGCAAACGTAAAAGTATACTGAACGATGGAATATCTCAGAGAAAAATTGGGATAAAGCAATCACTTGACAAAATCGGGAGATGTTCCTTATATAACTTAGGCAAGGACATCATAATCAAGAGATTGTAACTTGGTCATAATAAACCATACTAAGTTAAGACATTAAAGCTAGCCCTTCTCTCATCTCTTCACTCTCTCCTTGACATTCCCTCTGTCTGCTCCAGCTCTCTGAACTCTGGAGTCTTTCCTTAGATGATATCACTACCTCAGTGATGTAAGCTGACTGTGCACCCCCCGAGACTGTGTTGTTGATGAGCAGAGTAAGGCTCCTCTAAGCACAGAATTTGAAATTATTGACTCAGAACATGGGTATGCTGGGAAAGGATTATGGTTTTATAATGTATCTTTAAATTATTTGACTCCCATGAAGAGGTAGAATTTCTGTGTCTTCTTCTAGAATCTGGGACAATATCAGTGACTGGCTGCTTATGTGGCCTTTGAGGGTAGGTCTTAAAAGGTGATTTAATCTTGTGTAGGTGTGCATGTGGAGGCCAGAAGAGAACCTCTACCCTTGTTCCTCAGATGCTGACCACCATTTTAAAGGGAGACAAGGCATCACAGTGGCCAGGAACTTGTCAAGTAAGTTAGGCTGGCTGGCCTAAAGATCTGCCTGTCTCTGTCTCTTCTAGTGCTAGGGTTATTAGCATGCCAAGTGTTTATTTTATGAGGTGTCTGGGAACTGAACTCAGGTACTCATACTTGCAATTCACCAATTGAGCAGCAATCCTACCATGATTTTATCTTTATTACCTATGTAGGTGTGACAAGGGATCCTACCACACTGTGAGGAAATTCTGGCCACATACAAGGCCTCCCTTTGTTATTCCAGCCCACTCAGGTTCCATGTGAGTGAAGTTCCTAGATGACAGGTGACTGGACACGATATTGGACAACTTAAATACTGGACACTTATTTTTCACAATTCTACGAAGTTCAAGATGAAGGGGGTGACTGATTTGGTTCCCTGTCAAGGCTCTAGTGCTGTGCAGACATCTGCTTTCTCGCTGTGTCCTCACAAGATTAGGAGAGAGTGATCTCTTCCCCCACTCCTTTTCTTATAAAGCTACTAATCCTACCACGATGGATCCACCTTCATGACTTCCTTTTATCCAGGATAAGAAGATCCAGTACAAATATAGTCAACATATGAACCAGAGCGGCGGCAGGGTGGGGGCAACATAATCCCATCCATCAAATTTTTTCAACTCCCAAGTCCTTCAACCAAAGGTCCTAGATGTAGTGGAGCACTGCCATTAAAAAAAAATCCACTATTTCCATTCTTCTTTCACATTCCTAGTCCATAGAATTTATAAGCATAATGAGATGGTTGTTTTAAACTGCACTATTTGAGGTTGATTTATTATGAGCAATTATGATAGGTTGTGTGCTTGTGCATGTTGGGGGTGGTGATGGTTGATGTCCCTGCTTTTGAAAAGGTGCTGTCAGGGTATCACAAGCAGGGAACAACAACAACAATAACAACAACAAAAAGAACAGAGGATCAGGAAGAGCTGGTGACTTCTTCACAGGCATTGTACACTGGCCCCTGTTAAAGGTACAAGCTACTAGGAATACTTCATCTAAACCACACGAAGGAAGGATGGAGTGGAGTGAAGGGAGTCAGAGTCTATACTGAGGGACAGCGCAGATTCCTCTTGAAAGAAAAGGGCTTCCACTATGCACAACACCCAAGGCAGGGCTCATGGGTTGGACACTGTAATGGGATGCAGTAAAAATCACGTTCAAGAGTTTTAGTAGGAGAGCCAGCACAGAAAGTAAAGGAGTAGCATGTGCTTGTAACCCCAGTACTAGGGAGGTGGAGACAGGAGACCCTGGAACTCACTGGCCAGCTAGTCTAGCTGAACTAGTGATCTCTAGGCCAGTGACAAATTCTTTCTCAAAGGAGATGGATGGTGTTCCTGAGAGGGACAATCAAGATTTTCCTTTAGTGCTCACATACATGAACACCCATGTACATGCACACTTACACACACACACACACACACACACACACACACACACACACACACACACACATTTCCTAAACAAACATGAACATGCATCCATACACACAATTCTCAATATGGGATAATGATAGTAAGCCATGGTTAAGAAGGACCAGTCAGGATCAACAGAAAAACTGTGGGACACAGATAACTATTATTTAGATCAGATAATGTCACTCAACTAAAAACCACCCAGTGCCCTCCACTATGAAAGAGCTTTGGCTGGACAGAGATTTTTCTCTAGCCAGAGTTTTCATTAGATAAAGTAAGTCCTTAGTGTGACCATTTAAGATCTATGCCTTCAATCACAATTTAATATGAATAATTGACAGAGAGTAAATGCGTCAAGAAAAGGCTTTCGACAGAATAGGGAGAGCAGAGGCATTGAAGAACGTCTAAATACATGTGCAAGCTTTTCAAGAGTGGGGCAATTTGTGTCTAAAAAGGCAGCTAAACGTAGGCATTGTCTAATGTCATCCTTTATTGTTTTTAGTTTTTATTACTATTACTTTATTTATTTGTGTGTGTCTGTGTGTATGAGTGTGGGTGCTTATCCTTTGTGGGTTCTCCAGTCCATAAACTGTTGCAAAACCCCTCTTTCTGTCTTGCCCAAATCACAGTTTTGATTTTGAAATGATTTTAATAGTGATTCTAGGAAGTGTAGAAACAAGAAGAAATGTGAGCCACAGGGAGTGGCGTCTTTCGATGCGCAGAAGTTGAGCCTGCAGATGCAACACATATGAATGTAGATAGCCTGTGACATGCCTAGCACAGTGCCTTGTGCACGACAAATGCTCTGTGGTATTTGCTCCCCCTTTGGACACGATGTCCCTAAGAACTGAAGCAATTTGGGGAAGACTTCAGTGTCCTGCCCACATTCTCCTCTTTTCCTAATTTCTCTCCAGTTCCTTCCCTTCTCTTTTCTCCCCTCTTCATTCTACTTTCTCCTTCCTCCCTTCCAGCCCACTTTTATTTGTAATTCTTTTCCTTGCTGTTTTATTAGACTTTTTCTCACTTCTTTCTGCAAATCTCTCATTCCCTCTTTCTTCTTTTAGTATCCAACATGTCATTGTTCTGTTTTAATAATGAAGCAAAGACAGAATTCACATATATGCCTCTGTGTGAGTAATCTTATGTCTCCATAGGAAAAGTGAGAAGTCACAGGAAAGGAATGGGGAAGACAGAAGCCCAGGGAGAGCCTTGGGAATTTCACTGGGCCTGGGCTTGTCCTGATGTTTTCCATTCCTTGGCTCGAAGCTTTTTCCGATCAATTTTCCCTGTGATGGTCTTGGGCAGGTCCAAGACAAACTCCACCTGTTATGAAAAATCAGATCAATGTGGGTCATTGGTGACTACAGTACACTGAATTTTGTTTTTTAGAGGAGATGCTGTGAGCACTAGCTCTTAAGACTGGAGGGCCCAGGTACATGAGGATGGAGGATGGAGATGTTCTAAGTTGGCTCTGTTTGCCATAAGAAGCCTTGGAAGGTCTCTTGAAACCAGGGCAGGAAGAAGATGGCTAGAACAGAGAAGGGAGGTGTAGAGCACTAGTTTTTATATGTAGTCTTGAAGAGAGGAGAAGCAGCAAGATGAACATGGCATAGCCCAAAGGCAGACACTTAAACTTCCACATCAAACTCTGTATGTTTTGTTTTTTGTTTTAAGCTAACTTTCTTTTATTTCTTTCAATTAATTTATTTATTTTATTAAGGATTCCTTAATAAATCCTTATTTATCTTATCCCTAGTTATCTTGTCCCTAGTCCCTTCCTCTACTGGTCTGCTTCTTGACTGCCATGAGGTGAACAGCTTCCCTCTGCCATGCCCTTTCACCAGACATTTCATCCTTGCCACACACCTAAAATTAATGGGGCCCGCTGACCAGGGACCACAACTTCTGAGACCATGAACCCAAACTACCTACTTCCTCCTTTAAGTGTTACTCGGGTATGTTGTCGCAGGGATGAGATGCTGAGCAGTTATGGTCTCTTCACCATGGTAGAGCATTTGTCTTAGTGCCCAGAGTGAAAGTCCTTTCATTCTGTCATTTCTGGGAGGAGCGTTTCCATCTTCTTAGGAGAACCCCCTATTTCTCACTTAGATCACATTTTGGGTGTGGAGAAGAACCTTCTCCTACCCTTCCTCTGCTTTCTGCAAGGATGACCACACGACTCAGAACTGACCAATCAGGATATCCCACTGTCCTGGTTACATAGAATGGTTTAATTATGGGTATCTAAATTAGTCCAGCAAGAAGCAACTCCAAGACTTTCATTGGTCTGTGGAGGACATGCATGCAATTTCTCTACTGCAGTTTGCCAAGCTGCTAAGAATGTAGACTTGGAGAGGATGACACCTCAGAGAGAGAGAAAGAGAGAGAGAGAACATTTCAATAAATGAGGTCAATATAGAAGGAGAGTGAAGAAATTAAATTGAAATCTCTGAGCACATCATACATATGCCTGGGACTAACCATGAAGAAGATTGTGCCCTCTCATGGACTTGTCAATTATACAAGCAGCAAATTTTAAGTTATATTTCTGTTCTTGCAACTGAAAACTGTATAGTTCTGAATAGTTTTGCAAAGCCCCACTATACAGTGACCTTCCATAAAAGCATTTGTCTTTTCATTCAGAGTGAGTCAAAGGCTCTGGCCACTTCTCATGCACTAAGATAGCTGTTGGGTTGTTTTGGGGGAGTTTTTGGTCACTGCAGGGAGGACTTTTAAATTAGAGGCCTTGTTTTTGTGCCAAAGAAGAGAATTATAACAGGTGTTCTGTAAGCACAGGGGACATGGAGTGGTAAAGGCCTTACCTTTCTGGGGTACTTGTATGGTGCTGTCACTGACCTCACATGCTGCTGCAGCAACTTGGTGAGCTGGTCTGGGTCATGGGACAGGAACTCAGGGGCAAGGACCACAAATGCCTTTACCACCTACAGCAAGGATGAGACCCAAGAGGGATCAGAATACTTACTCATCTCTTGGGATGAAGCAAAATCAGTATCAAGATGCCCACCACAGCCACAACTAAATGCCTGCATCCATCCAAATGTCTGGGCCAAAGGAAAGGAAAACATGGGAAGTGGGTAAGAGCAGCCAACATTCCAACTTGTTCTCAAGTGACTTATTTTTTTGAGTGGGAAGTGAGGCTAAGAGACCCCAGGTTCACCTAATACCCCAATGATAGTAAAGGCTGCTGAGGGGAAAGTAGACGCAGAGAGGAGAGATAGGAAAACAAAGAATGGGGACTCTAAATGGTTTGTTTAATCTCTTTAAACTTCAGTTTATCCATCTGTAGGATGGGATACAAATTTCATATTTAATTGACGGGAAGTAAAATAAAACCATCCACAACTCAAAGCTCAGTGGAAGGTCCTCTTTTGCTCCCCCAGTGGCTCTCATTATTTCACACGTCATGTGGCCCATATCTGCCAGACATAGGACATCACCAAGCTTGCACCAGGCAGAAGTGCACTGGGGCACTGATCTACCTTAAGCCCTCTACACACACCCCCCCCACACACACACTAAGCTCTGCACAGTCCTGTCACCCTGATGTTTTAGGGTCCTCCTCCTTAGTTATGCCCTAGTTCAAGGGCTGCATCTTCTAGACCAAGTCCTCTCTCTTTGACTGTGGTCAAGAGCAGATCCTTCCTTACAGGTGCTGGTGTGCTAGGGTGCTAAGTTTTGTCCCCAGCACTTTGCAAATATATAGCACATTTAATGCTCATAACAATCCCTTATCTCACAAATGTGGAAACTGAGGAAAATAGTGGTTCAGCAGCATGGTGGAGGTCATACAGCTAATTGGCAGTACGGTCAATATTTGAGCCCAAGCTGTCTAGCCTGTGAATCTGTGTTCTTAACCTCCTTACAACACTGTCCCTGCATTTCACAACTACATGTCACCTCTCCTCTGGTAGAGTCTGGGCTGCTGACCACAGCTGTCTCAACCACGGCAGGGTGCTCCATCAATGCATTCTCTACCTCTGATGGTCCAATCCGGTACCTGTAAAAGTATGTCCTTCAGAGAAGACAGGGCACCCAACCTCTAGGACTGAGAACAAGGAAGAACAAAACTCCAGAACACCCTTCCTGGTCCAGAAACAATGCTCACCCGCTGGAATTAATGATATCGTCTGTCCGCCCCAAGAAGTGGAAATACCCTTCTGAATCCTTGGTTCCCCGGTCTCCCAGAAGCCAAAAGTCTCCTCGAATATTGGCCTCTGTCTTCTTGGGATTTTCCTAGTGAGCACAGAAACAGAGAGCTACTATGTCTGCAAAGTCTAAGACCCCTGTCCGAGGACTTCTATGACCAGTTCCTTCAGTTTACCACTTGAGCAACTGCACATTGTATGGTGGACCTGTCACAGATCTACCAACTTTGGATTCCCCAGCCAACCTGGATAGTCTCCATTCATTTCAGTCATTCCACTGAAGGTCTCTCACCTACTACCCTGAATCTAGTCTTATAGATAATATTGACATATTCAATGATTCATTTATAGTCTAGGGTGTTTCCCCTTGCATATTTCATCTTTCCTTCTGCAGACAATTTAACATCTGTTCACTCCACAATACCACCTAAGGTTATTGAGTCCGTTTGGTATATCCCACCCCACCCCCCACCCCCGACTCTTTCATTATACTTGAAAGGTCTAGAGACTGGCCAGAAGGATTCCAAAGTCTCAGCCAGGGTTCACACTTCTGTCATGGCTGGACTCTTCTATTTAGCTGAGCCACTAACATATGAGCAGTGAGTAGGCTTGAGGGCTAGCATTTTCTGGACATTTTTCTGTTACTCTGGAATGGGAGCATGGGTTTTAAGTTGATGTCCAGTTAGGAGGTTAGAATTCTTCACCCAGCTCCATCATTAGGAATGTCAAGGGAAGTTCAAGGGGCTTGTCCGAAGCCAATCTGCTCTTCTAGGTTGTAGAACTGAGGCAAGGAGCCACATTTCTTAACCACAGATTTCTTGTAATCACCATGCAGCTTCTGCTGCCATTCCCATCATGGCCTTAAATATATCTGCCGATGTTACTGTGTCTATTTCACGTGTATTAGATGGGGACACCCATGCTCTAGTCCCTTGCTAGAATGTGAGAGCCCATGGGGAAAGTGTGCAGACAGTGTTTGGAGAAGAGTGCAATGTAGCTGTGTCCTGGTTGCATAACCTCAGTTTCCCCCGCGGAGGTGATAATTTGGACCTGTCAGGGTTTATTTATTTATTACACTTGTATGTGGTACAGTTCTAGGTGCTTCATAAATACTATTGCCTTTATATTGCTAATGCGATACAACGTGATAACCCAACTCACCAATGAGGATGTGAGACAGGGGGATGGATAACTTGCTCCCAATCATCCAGCAAATACTGGAACAGCATTTGAATTTAAGCAAGTTGGCTCTAAAAATTTTACATGGTGTCTAAGAGCATTAAATGTGTTTAAGGTATATCAGGAGTTTTAAGAGCACTTGCTCAATAAACCAGTGGTTCTCACCCTTCCTAATGCTGAGACCCTCTAATACAGTTCTTCATGTGGTGGTAACCCCCAACCATAAAATGATTTTCATTGCTACTTCATAGCTGTAATTTTTGCTACTGTTATAAATCGTAATATAAATAACTATGGTTACTGATGGTCTTAGATGACTTCTGTGAAAGGGTCATTCGACCTCAAAAGGGGTCATGATCCACAGGTTGAGACCTGCTACACTAAATGATAGGAAGAGCATTATCATTGGACTTGCCCATTTATTATCTTGGGCACAAGCATTTGCCACATATCCAGAAGTTGTGTGTTTGAGGTTCCCTCTTAGCACTTCCCAACAGCTGTAGGTTTGACTGAGTTTATAATCTCTGGCTTCACCATCACTACACGGAAAGAGAGCTGGCCCTACTCAGGTATTATCTGTGAGTGCCTTCCAGGGGTCTGAACCCTGGATGCTGTCAGTACTCTCCATGGAGTATCCAGCATGACTCTAAAGCTCCACAATGCCATAGAGCCTGGGTCCATGCTTTGTGGAGAGAGCAGGGGAAATGCTCAGAGGCAATAAGCATACTGGCACATTATAGAAGGTTTTGTTGTTGCAAAGGCTTGTGGGGAAAGGTGAGTTTTTAGTGATTTCTTAGTAAATGGCTAAGACTGGCAAGAGTAAATGGCCTGGCATCTCTCTTCATAAAGTGCCTATTCCTTTTTGTTCTAATTTAATATTATTCCTGGCTTATACAGAATTAGGTATCATTGTGGAAAAGTGCCCGATCTTGAACCCTGATAACTCTGCGAATCTCGCCAATACCTCTTGGTATTTATAACATTACACATCCCTCAACTTATTTGGTTTATCTCATCCTGACAGGGAATAGAGGGAGAGCATAGGTCCTCACCAAGTATCCAGAGAAGATGCCTACAGGCCGGATGGGCTTCACCCTGATGGCTATGTCTCCTTCCTTGCCAGGGGGCAGGACATTTCCATGTTCATCTATGATCTGAAGGAAGAGGAAGATTGGATGGATAACCCACAAAAAGGAGATGCACAAACAGTGGTATGATGGCAGAGTTGGTCAAGTGAAGGCCATTCTGCTCTCAACATGAACCAGAAGTCAAGAGAAGCCAAGAGGTTTAAGCTTGGATTCCTGGTCCACTTGCCTGGGTTTGTGCTAGTAAAACCTCTCAGTGTACTGGACCAGAGGAACCTGGGCAGGTGCCTCTGGCTCTAAGGGTTCAGGAGAAGCATGTGCCTCCCATTATCATTGAGAAACTCCTCACTTGTAGACTTAGAGACTAAAAGCAAATGTTGTTGTGCTACCTTGCCTACTGACCTTCAACTATGAGGCACTATGCTTGGACAATGACTTCTGTAAAACAGAAATGCTTTGTGAACAAAACAGAACACTGACAAGCATGTCTGTATAGTTAACATAGTGAATTACATGACAGATTATCACACATGATTCCGAATTAGACAGAAGTTGTCACACTTCCAATAAACGGAAATCTACATGTAACCATAGACACATAAACATAAATTCTAGTTCTTAGATTCAGCCCAAATCAATAAAAAGAGAAAACACGTTAGTTACAATACAGTCACTATAATGCTAATAAAAACGAGTGTAACCTGTCAATAAACAACAGAGAGGGGCAAAGCTGCCATTGTCTTATCAGTCATTGGGCTCTGGGCTGCAGTGGGTACCTACTGACCTAGAAGGAAGGGTGCCTGATCACTAAAAGATAAACCCAAGTTACAAAACATTAGGCCAAGTCACTTCTGTTTTTCTTTCAAAATCACATTTAACAATGTAACTATTCAGCCAATTTGCTAGATAAGCAAAGTGGTTCCTGCTTTTCTCCTTCCCTTACTTCTCTCTTCCCTCCCTCTCCCACTACCTTTCTCTTCTCTTCCTTTTCAAAAACTAAAGCTATTTCATTCATTCATTCATTCATTCATTCATTCATTCATTCATTCATTCGTGTGTGTGTGTGTGTGTGTATGTGCAGGTTGTAGTTTTTTCTCTCCTTCAACCATGTGAGTCTCAGGGAATCAAACTCTTACACACCGAGCCATCACAGTGGCCCTCCTCCTCCTTTTAAAACATTATTTTAATATATCAATATTATTTTTAAGTTTAAACTTGTTATTTTTGAGAATTTTATACATTAATATTTTATTTACATCATTTCCATCCCCCTCCTCAACTCCTTACCTGTCCCTCTTCACTCCTCTCAAATTCATTATATTTTCTTCTTTAACTACTGTTACATACATACATATGTAAATGAACACACATACACACACCCACACCCACACACACACACACACACACACACACACACACACACACCATGCTGAGTCCATTTAGTGTTGCTCAAATATACTTGTGCTAAGGGGTTGACTATTGGGGGTTGAATAACCTATTAGGAAGCTTGTCCCTGGAGAAAACTGGCTCTCTCACCACTGATGGTTTCTACTTTCTCATGTAGGTGTGGAGCCCTGTGAAATCTCACCCATTTGTGTTGGGTAAGGTCATTATTGTCTTGACAACTGTAGCATTGAGATTTCATGTGTGCAGTATCTGCTGCCATCTCTAGAAGATAACTATCTCACAACATGAACCCTGGTCCCCTGGCTTTTAGTTTTCCTGACCTTTCTTCCAAGATGTTCCCTGGCCTTAGGTGTGGGTTTTCACTAAAGATGTAGCAATTGGGGTTGGTTACCCCACGGCCAGCTGTTCTCTGCATTTGGATAGCTTGTGGATCTGTAGTGGTCTCCATCTCCTGCAGAGTGAGTGTGTGTGGCGGGGGGATAAGTTAGGCTTATCTGTGGGTTTAAGGATAAGTACCCAGGATGCAGTCAGAAATTATTTTAGTTTAGGGAAATGGTAGTAGTGGGTTCTCTAGGATCCATGTCCTCTCCAGTCCTAGGTTTGTAGTACCAGGCGTGAGTTGTCTCTTGTTGAGCAGGCTGTGAGTCTATTGGTTACACTATTGGTTATATCTATTAATTATCTCTAAGATAACACTGCCACTGTTGCACCACTGGGGATATCTTGCTGGGCCAGTACTTGTCCTTAGGCTTCACAGCTGAGTAGAACTACTGATCGCTTTACTTCCTGGTCAGCTTGCATAGCACCTTCCAATACTGTGAGAGCTGGGCCTCAGGAAGGAGATTTTCAGGTCAGTGCCAGCTCAACTTCTCCAAGTCTTGTGCCCAAAGTATGTGGTGTCTTATCTTCGGGTCCTGGAGGGCAACCAAGGGCAATGGCAATGGCCTGTGTTGTTTTGGGAATCTCTTGGAGTACCACCCCTAACCGACAACTCCAAGGGAGGATTCCCATGCCTGGCATTAGGGTTTTGGGTTTTGTTAGTGTCTGGCTCTTGAGGGAAGCATTAGCACTTGTGTGGTCTAACTTCATTTAAACTGTGTATGTAAACACACACACACACATAGACATAGACACAGACATTCATACACACATACACACACACACACACACCCTACATACACATTATATATGTTTTTAAATAAACATAAAATAGCATGTTTCCCTTTGGCCTTTTCAAACATCCTTAGTGTTATTTGTCTTTTTTACCCCCTCCCTCTGCATTACCTTTCACTCTCCTTCCCAGACTCTTCAGCTAAAGTCTCCCCAGATTTCTCATTTTCCCTTCATACACCCATGTCTTTCTATCACCCTCTCTAGAGTTTCTTCCACCCCACCCTCCCCATGATCTCTGTCTATCTTCCTGGTTTCTGTGGTTACTCCATGTTACATATACAAGCCTAAATATTTGGAGCTGGGCTCCTGAAGTAAGAAAGAACACGCAGCATTTGTCTTTCTGGGTCTGGGTTACCTCACTCAGTATATTTTCTATCTACTCACTTGCAAAGGTCGTGATTTCATTTTTCTTTACAGCCGAATTGTATCCCATCGTGTCTATGTATTACATTTTCATTATCTATTCATCAGTAGAACATTTAGGTTCTTGGCTGTTGTGAACAGAGCAGTAATGAACGTGGCTGAACACTGTCTTTGGAGTAGGATTTTCAAGTCCTTCAGACGTATGTCAAGAAGTGGTATAGCTAGAACATATGGCTGACCTACCTGTAGTTTTCTGTGATTTTCCACATGGATTTCCAGAGTGGATACGCCATTTTGCAACCCCCCTGACAATGAATGAGGGCTCCTCTTTCCTCGTGCCCTCGACAGCTTTTGTTGTTAGTTCTTTTTTTGGTCTTAGCCATTCTGACTGGGGTGAGATGACATCTCAAAGTAGTTTTAGCTTTGCATTTCCCTATTTGCTAAGGATGATGGATACCTTTAAATGTTTCTTAGCCATTTTTATGGTTTCTTTTGAGAACTCCGTTCAAATCCATAACCCATTTTTGAATTGGCTCATCTGTTCTCTTGACTTTTTGTTTTTGGAGTTCTTGGAATACTCTGTCCTATGTGTGGCTGGCAGAGTCTCTCCCACTGTAGGAGCACTCTCTCCACAGGGCTGGTTGTTTCCTTTGCTGTGCAGAAGCTTTTCGGTTTTTGTGAGATCAGATTTGTCAGTTGTTAATTGCTGAGCAAGTGGAGTCTTGTTCAGAGGGTGAGTTCCTGCTTCAGCTCCTCATAGGCTGATGTTTTCTTCTCACAGTTTCAGCGTTTTGGGTTTCACGTTTAGTTCTTTCATCCACTTGATTTTTGGGGTCTAATTTAATTCTTCTAAATGTGGACACCCAGTTTCCCCAGCACCATTTGTTCATGGTTGCTGTCTTTCCTCCAGTGTGTATTTTTGACATCTTTGTCAAAGAGAAGATGGCTACAATTACATGCACTTATGTTTGGATCTATTCTGCTCCATTAATCTACATGACTGTTTTGATGCTGACACTGTGCTCTTTGTAACTGTAGCTCTGCAGTATAACCTGACATTTGGTATGGTAACTCCTCCAGCACTGTTCTTTTTGCTTGGGGTAGCTTTCACCATCTGGGGTCTTTTTTTACTTCCATATGAGTTTTAGGATTTTTTTCTATTTCTGTGAAGAGTATCATGGGGGGGGGAGTTTAATTGGAATTGCACTGAATCTGCAAATTGCTTTTAGTAGAACGGTCATTTTCACAATATTAGTTCTACCAGTCCATAAACATAGGAAATCTTTCCAACTTCTAGTGTCTTCCTCATTTCTTCCTTCAGAGAATTGAAGTTTTCACCTTGGAAGACTAGGTTTATTCCTAGATATATCCTCGAGGGTATTGTGAATGAGAGTGTACCCATGATCTCTTTCTCAGCATTTTTGCTGTTGGTATATGGAAAAATTACTGATTTTTTTTTTTTTTTTTTTGGTTTTTCGAGACAGGGTTTCTCTGTGTAGCTTTGCGCCTTTCCTGGTACTCGCTTTGGAGACCAGGCTGGCCTCGAACTCACAGAGATCCACCTGGCTCTGCCTCCCGAGTGCTGGGATTAAAGGCGTGCGCCACCACCGCCCGGCTAAATTACTGATTTTTTAAGTTGAACTTTGATCCTGACACTGCTGAAAGTGTAGAACATTTTCAGCAGTTTTCTGGTGGAATTTTTGGTATCTCTTATGTATAATTTCATATCATGTGCAAATAGGGATAATCTGACTTCTTCTTTTCCTATTAATTTCCTTCTCTTGCCTTATTAATCCAGCTAATGCTTCCAGTACTTTATAGAAAGGGGATGGGGAGAGTCAACAGCCTGGTCTCATTCCTGAATTTAATCTGATTTCTTCAAACTTTCTTCATTTCGGCTGATTTTGGCTGTGGGTCTCTCATATATGACTTTTATTACTTTGAGGTTCATTCCCTCCAGTCCTGTTCTCTACAGAACTTTTACTGTGAAGCTGGATTGGATTTTGTCAAAGGTTTTTTGATGCATTATGGAGATAATCATGTGACTTTTGTCTTTAAGCCAACTTATATGATTTATTATATTTATTGATTTAGGTATATTGAACCATGCCTGCAAGACAGCTTGATCATTGTGGATGATCTTTCTTATATGTGCCTGTATTCAGTTTATAAGTATTTTATTGAGAATTTTTGCATCTATGTTCACCAGGCATATTGGTCTATAGTTTTTTTTTTTTTTTGGTTTTTCGAGACAGGGTTTCTCTGTGTAGCTTTGCGCCTTTTCTGGGACTCACTTGGTAGCCCAGGCTGGCCTCGAACTCACAGAGATCCGCCTGGCTCTGCCTCCCGAGTGCTGGGATTAAAGGCGTGCGCCACCACCGCCCGGCTGGTCTATAGTTTTATTTGCCTTGTTTTAGTATATTTACCTGGCTTAAGTGTCCAAGTTATTATGGCTTCACAGAATTTTGAAGGTGTTCCTTCTGTTTGTATTTTTTAGAGTAATTTAAAAAAGTATTGACTGCCGGTTGTGGTGACGCACGCCCGTAGGATTTGCTGAAGGAGGCAGAGGCAGGAGGATCACGAGTTCGAGGCCAGCCTGGGCAGATTTTAATAAATTATAATTAAAAAAAAAGTATTGGCTATAGTTTCTGTTTGAAAGGCTGGTGGAATTTTCCTGTGAATCCATCTAGACCTGGGCTTTTTTTTTTTTTTTTAGTTGGAAGCTGGGGATCTGGGGCATTCATTCAGCTGGGCTGGCATACCTACTATTAGTTCCACTCAATGAAAACATAATAAATACATATATTACCACAAATTCATGTTTCCCCTCCCTCCGTATTGCCCTTAGCAAACCTGAACGTCATAATGGGGGACAGCTGTTCCCAGGGAGCCTGGTTTGATGGTCATCGTTCTGGAAACTCTGCAGGTGAGACCCTGTGGAGAGGAGCAGACAGAACAGCAAGGCTCAGAAAGAGCTGCACGGTCCGGGGAAGGAAGGGTTCTGTGAGCAATTCTCACTCCTGCCTTCAGCCATTCACAGGCCTGTCTCCTCCACACCCATTCCCCCAGCTTTCTTCTTGGAACCCCAGTCCTAGTGGCTCCACCAAACTGTTTGTTCAGAAGACAATCTGGTTACTTCCCAGGGATGAGAAATGAACAACTACCCTACACAAATCCAGCTAACTGAGAGAAATGAGTTCTCACATTTTCTAACACAGTGGAGTGACTAATATCAGCAGCAACGGATCACATGTCTCAAAGTTGGAGAAGAAGCAATGTTCCCAACACAGAGGAAGACTAAATGTTTGAGTATGTGGATATGCTAAAAACCCTGAGCAATCGTGATGTGTGGCACACAGACATAGAAACATCACACAGCAGGGTGGGGTGTAGCTTGGTGGTAGGACAGTTGCCTCGCTGTGCAAGGTCCTGGGCTTGATTCTCAGGTACACAAGAAGAAGAAGAAGAAGAAGAAGAAGAAGAAGAAGAAGAAGAAGAAGAAGAAGAAGAAGAAGAAGAAGAAGAAGAGGAGGAGGAGGAGGAGGAGGAGGAGGAGGAGGAGGAGGAGGAGGAGGAGGAGGAGGAGGAGGAAGGGGGAAAGGAGGAAGAAGAAGAGGGGAAAAAGATGGGGAAGAAGGAGGAATTTTAAGTCAATTCTTATATGACAATAATTTTTTAAAATACAAAGTTAGTCATCTGCAGTCTGAGAGGCCTACAAGATCTTAGGGACAGTTTCCTTGAATCCTGAAATAAACCTTGTCCTCGGAGAGGCTGTGGGACAGAGAAGCCTCTTCTGCACATGTTCTCCTCTGGATGGATGGAAGCCCTCACTAGGTGTGCGCTCCATGCCCTGTAGTCCTCACGTGGATTCTCAAGTTCTTCTTGACTGCTTCACATCGCAGCACTGCCTCCAGCCTGCCGGGGTGGGGTGGGGGACACTACCGGGGTCCATTAGCCGGAGAAGGAAGACAGGTGAGAGGTCAGAGAGGAGAGAAGCACTGAGGGTCAAGAGAGAGGGAGACACTCAGAAAAGGAGCCAATAATTGAGCCGGGAGACAGATTCTCGAGGCTGTTCTGATGAGTAGCACAGAGCAGTGCAGATACATATTGTACACATGCTGCCTGCTAACTCCAAGACTGGCAGGGACGATGGGGACTTTGCTGGCTTCTCCCTGTCCTCAGCTTCTGTCTGAGCAGCTGAGTATTGTGCCTGACACATCGGAGAGCTACAGTTTTCTGCTAATGTGTGACTCCGTCACGAGAACGTCCATGATCGTCTTGTCTGAAGGAACAGCTGCTGTGTTTTTGTTGCGGTGGTAGTGGTGGTGGTGTTTGAAGGTGGAACCTCTAAGGTCAGAAGAGGAATCAACACCTTCTGATAGGACTGAGTGGTAGCTCTCTTAAGACACAAGAGTAGGTTTCTACCAAGCAAGGCTACCCCGTATTTTAGTTTGTTTGGCCCATGTCTGTTTCCCCATCCACTTTTCATCATGCATTGAAGCAGCATGGGGATACCGAAGGTGTGAGCAGATGCCAGCATCCAATCTTAGATTTCCCAGGCTTCAAAACTATAAGCCAAAGTATCTACTTTTCTTCATAAATCACCTAGCCTCAATTATTATGCTACAGCAACACAGAAGTGATGAAATTTCTAGCTCTTGACTCCTCTTTGCCTTGTTTCATAGCTCTTTGCATTACCTACCATGACATCTATTTCTTGATTTTCTGCCTTCCTTCCCCACTAGAATGCGATGCCCGTGAAATCAGGAACATTGTCATTTTGTTCCTGTAGTAGATGCTCAATATGTATTTCTCAACCAAAAGAGTGATACACTACTTCAAAATAAACAGATTATCAAACAGAATTTGAAGTCTGGCAGAAGACTCAGCCCATGGTCCCCTAGGGAGTAGATACCGTTTCTGTCTGGCCATAGAACTCTCGGATGTCCAGTCCTGTCTTGGCTTTCCAGTTCTCCAGAGTCTCTGGGAGAAGGCTTTCCCCTCCAGTGAAGCAGCTGTGCAGGTGTGGGAACTTGTAACTAAAGAAGAAGAGTTTATTTTCCCTTAGTTTTGTAGGAACTGAAGTCTACCCAGGCTTGGGACTGAGTTCTGGGTGCTATGATGGTGGCCCTGGGTTTATATAGGCTAATTGTGTCCAGATAAATAGATATAGGGAGAGCCTAGAGGCTCCTACCAGCCCCCCAAATGTCCATCACCTGGAAAGATCTTGTTGTAGCAACATCCGGTAAATGAGGGGGGCACCCACCATGCTGTTGATGGGATAGTTGGACAGCACCTGTGGGGAGAGAGCTATCTGAGACACTGCTCATTAGACCAGATGCCAAGCTCAGCAAGGCACACATCACCACGACAGTCATTACTCCTCAAGGTGTAGTGATACAGACTGAAATCCTAGTTCGTCTGTTGTGTTTGCTTCAGACTTACCAAGCGTCACGACTCTCACACGTGCTCAAGACACAACAGAGAAATGAATGCAGACAGAAAGAGGTCCAAGATTCATTTGGAATACTTTTGTCAAAGCCTGGCTGGCTCTTCCCACTCAGTTTAAGACTCGTCCTTGTAACTCTAACCCTACCTCACCAAAGGGGGTGTAAGGCCTCTGCTATTAAGGGGAATAGATCAAATGTAGGGTAAAAGGGCCAAGGAAAGAATACCATGACCTTGAGGCCAAGGAAAAACACTCTGGCCTTGACTTGACCCCCAAGTCAGAGACCAAGGCTGTACTGGCAGTTTTTGTGTGTCAACTTGACACAAGCTAGAGTCATCGGAGAGGAAGGAGCCTCAGCTGAGGAAATGCTTCCATGAGATCCAGCTGTAAGGCATTTTCTCAATTAGTGATCAATGGGAGAAGGCCCAACCCTGGTGGGTGGTACCATCCCTGGGCTGTTGGTTCTATAAGAAAGCAGGCTGAGCAAGTCAGGGGAAGCAAGTCAGTAAGCAGCACCCCTCCATGGCCTCTGCATCAGCTCCTGCCTCCAGGTTCCTGACCTGTTTGAGTTCTGGTCCTGACTTCCTTCAGGGATGAACAGCAATGCTGAAGTGTTAGCCAGTTAAACTCACTCTTCCCCACCTTGCTTTTTGGTCATGGTGTTTTGTTACAGCAAGAGAAACCCTAACTAAGACAAGGGCCAGGCAGGGGAAAACATCATTCCCCCGAGCCTGTCCCAGATCAGGCCACAGAATCCCACCAATCCTTAGCACGAAATCCCACCAATCACTCAGCAAGAAATCCCTCTAATCCCTGAGCTTCAAAATCAGGCCACCAAACCCTGAGCTTGCCCTAAAATCAGGCCACACAATCCCTCCAACCCCAGGACACTCTGGAAATTTTCACTTTCCAAGAATCCATATAAGCCCTGTCTTCTACTCAGTTCCCTACTGATTCTCACTCAAGCAGAGGCCGCCACCCTCCTGGGGTTTTCCCTACCAATATGTCTCTTGTGTGAACTTTGTTGTGTGGTGTGACTTGGTGGTATTGCTTGTCTCCTGACTGCCAGGATACCTTTCTCTTCAGAGCTGCAACACTTGCATTGGGGAAGCCTTTCCCCTCAGAGCTGCAATACTTCCACCAGATGCTGCAGCAAATGGATTATATGATCTCGGATCAGTGCCTTGACCTTCTGGAACTAGGTTTGTTATAGGCTATTTCCATGAAAATAATTGTGAGAGACTATCGTGGTCCAAAAGTGGCTGGAATCATGTCTCAGTATTTCCAAAGCAGTGTCCAAGAAAGGCCTGGAACCGAATGCTAACTATGCCTTGTGCTTCCTCCTGAAGTTCCCACAGTGACCTCCTGCAGCATACACTGTGATCCTGTTCATGGACCTGAGCCCTGCAGGGGTAAGTGGCTCACAAGCAACTGGAGGAGTCAGCGTTCGCCACACGGCATGCAATGCTGTTTTCCTTACGGCGTTTGTTTTGTGTAGAGCTGAATAGTGATCTAAGCAAACATCTAGGAAAAAGGAACACGCATCATACAATAGTTTCCTGTATGTGTAACTGATGACACTGTCTAATTCTGTAGTATACTTTTGCCATCCAAAAGAACATTTATTACTTGTTACTATGCAGTAAAAAGCAGCTATAGCATGTAAATTTATTTAATATCTACCTCAGACTCTACAGGGAAAGTAATCTTATTTGCTCTTTAGAATTCCTCCCAGGTAAATTCCCCAAACTGGACATAAACCAAACACCCACCTCTGATATGATGGGAAAGAAAGGGTGACACATTCTTAGAATGGAATACTGTAGAACAATTAAAAAGGACAAACCAGACACATGCAAAAATATGGATTAACCTCGCAGAGAAATCTACTGAATGAAATAAACCAGACACAAAAGATAATCCACCCTACACCTGAATTTACGAGAGAGAGAGAGAGAGAGAGAGAGAGAGAGAGAGAGAGAGAGAGAGAGAGAGAGAGAGAAGAGGTGAAATTTAAGCTGGTAGAAGTCAAAAGAGTTTTTAACTTATGAGGTGCGAGCATGGCCAAGGGAGGTATGGTCACCCTCTGCAGCTATGGGGACATGTGAGGCCTCCATCTGGTGATGGTGACATTGATGTCTGAAATGAACCATACATTCCATATGCTGAGTGGATCCATAGGCTGGATCTCTAACCCTCATGTGATTGGATTTGGAGATAATGATGCCAAGTACTGAAAAAGGTGTGCCGATGCCACACTAGTTTAGTGTCATAAGAATGAGATTCTCTCTCGCCTCCTCCCTCATTCCCTCCCTCCCTTCTCACCTCCCCACCTCCCTCCCCTAAGTCTACAGCAAGAAAGTGATTGATCTTCTACAGCATGAGGTTCCTCACTAAGCAGGTGACCCCTCCGGCACCTTGATCATCTTTAAGTCCATCCTTCAGAAGATTGGGAAGCATCTGCTGTGTGAGCCCCCCCAGTCGGTTGTATTTCTGGGAGGTGACTGAGGCAGTGTCTGCCCCAAGTGAATGCTTTTCAGACTGTACACTAGAATAGTGGCGTTTCATACGTTTTAACCATTATTTTGGGTTACACTGCAAATGAAGAAGGAAATATGACACATACATACTTATATACAGACACAGGCATGTACACAGACACAAATGCATGCATACATGTGTGTGAGGGAGATGGTATCACCTCCCATCCCTTTATCTAAGTTCTCCCAGCAAAAGAAGTGCCTCTTAGTTGAGAGAAGAACCACCTAGTCCCATCTCTTGAACATATGCCATTCCTCCATGCCTGTGTCCATCTCTCTCCCTAGACCGTGAGCTTTGTTAGATGGATGCAAACTTCCATCTTTCTTCATGCTGTCCACTGCTCACCCATGTGGCTGGGATTTAGCAGAAGTTTTATGAATTGAAACCAACTGCTATGACCTGGAGTGTGTAAACCCTGAGCTTATTCTGACCAACCAATATGGACAGTCCTCTCTTACCTTTAGAACAGTTTGTGGATCAAACTTTGGCAAAAGATGGACAAATGTGCATGCTCCCAATGACCAAGGTTCCAGAAATGAGGCTAAAATGTTCACTATCCAACCTGTGTCTGAGATGGTCCATATCGTGTCAGAGACATCCAGGCCTGTCCAGGTGCTGAGAACACAGAACATAGGCACACAGAGCTGAGTGCACTGATGGGCATGGTGTTTGAGGGGCTGTGTGGGGAAGGGTGAGGTGTGGGCATGCAGCATGTGTGGAAAGGTGGCAGTGCTTTAGAAAGTGTGACCCCAGAAGACACAAATCAGTGCATAACTGGGTTGTGCTCTCACTTTATTCCCAGTACTAGAACAGTGACTGACAAGTAAAACCATCCAGGAAAAGCTTACTAACAGAAGGCATCAAAGTAAATAACCATTTGTGTGTGTGTGTGTGTGTGTGTGTGTGTGTGTGTGTGTGTGTGTGTGCAAGTATACACATGTATGGAGTGTGCAGATGCCTTTATCTATTAATCTCTACCTTAGTTTTTAGACAGGGTCTCTCACTGACCCTGGGGCTTGCTGATTGGCTAGACTGGCTAGCCAATGAGCTTCAGAGGTAGGACATTTATGCTTTTAAAAAGTTCTTAACATTAAAATATTTCCCATTCTAGTAATAAAATTAACATTGCAAGAAGGATCTATGGAAAAAGAACACAGAGATCTTCAGTTATTAGCTCATGAAGACCTTGGTACCATACCTTCTAATTCCACAGATCATAGTGACCTAGTCATGAAATCAGTGCTAGCTTGAGACCTGTGTTCTAGAAACTCCGATAACTCTGTTCACCCTATTCTTCTAATGACACTTCTCACATAAATGAATTTGCAAAGGAGCTATTGACAAAATGATGTCCTCCTGGAATCTGGGTGTTTTCAAACAAATTGCCAGGAACCCAAAGACAAGGCAGAGAGTGTCTGGGAAGAGGGCATCTGCGCCCGCTGCTATTTTTATCCTACTAGTGTGGCTTGAAACAAGGAAGGGGTCTTTTGAGACCTTGTGTTGTCTAAAACAGAGATGTCACACTGGAGAATTCTCAGTACATGAAGTCTTGCCCTTTTAGCCTCCCTTCTCAAGTTGTCTTGTTGGAAGTCTCCAGGGCAAATCAGACCTGACTTCAGGACAGTTGTCATGAATCTATAGAGGGAAAAGGCTCAGCTTACCCAGCGTCCATCTTGGCCTTGATACCCAGGCTGGAATGGGAGTGTTCTACCATCTTGGGAGGGCCACTGGTCCCACTAGTGAAGTAGATGGCAGCTGATTCATGGCTTCCAGTTTCCACACAGTGATGAGTGGTGGATGCATCCCTACAAGGACCAGAAAGTCAATGTCTCAGATCTAGCCTGGATACTGATGATTCTGTGACTCATCTTCCCTCACTAGCCCTCAAGTAGACGAGGGCAAGTCAGATGACCTGTTTCTGAACGGCAGCTGTTGAGTGGTAAAATTCATGCATTCCTGAGAGAGTCAGCATTTTGTTAACTATGTAAGTTTGTACAAGTTACTTAACTTCTGTGAGTCTCACTTTCCATATCTGTAAAATGGGGACAAAAAAAAAAAAACCTACCTCAGAGTTTAGTGAGAAAGTTAACTTTACAACAAAGAAAAAGAGAAATACTTGTTTGGGACTGAATGTTAATTCAGTTGTGGTTGGCTCCAGCATACCAGGAGCACACAAAAAAAAGTTGAGCAGTTCGTTTTCCAAGTAATGAAAAAAATTATTTTTGTGTGTATGAGTGTTTTGTCTGCATGTATGTATATACACAATGAGCATATGTTTCCTGTGGAGGCCAGACAAGGGTATTGGATCCCCTGGAACTAGAGTTATTGATAGTTGTAAGTTACCATGTAGGTGCTGGGAATCAAACAGAGGTCCTCTGAAAGAGCAGCCAATCTCTCCAGCACCCCACATGGTTTCTTGACACCCACTTTTATTCTCTGGAGTAACCCACAGATCTCTTAGAGTCTTGAATTTGAATCTCTCAAAGCTGGTATTTTATTGTTTATTTTTATGGAAATGATTTTAAAGATCATGGCAGTAGAAACGAAAAACAACAACAAAACTTTATGTTCTCCCTAGATGTTTCCTAAGGCACATGCCTCTTGTGGAAGGATTCTAAACAGGGGGCAGAATTGCATTTATCCAGCCAGTCTTGCTGTGAAATTCCAGAAGGGTCACTATTCTGGAAGGAAGCGGATCCTAGGGATATAGAATGTGGGAAGAAGAGCCTGGAAGTCAGTGTACCAGGCATCTCTTAGATGCTGCCTCACATTTCATCAATGGCTGTGGTGAATAGTTCTGGATGCCTTTCAGACCCATTCAAATCAATAGCATGTTGCTGCTTCTAGCATGTGCAAGTGATTCACCTTAATGCCAGGATATGTGTGTGTGTGTGTGTGTGTGTGTGTGTGTGTGTGTGTGTGTGTGTGTGTGTGTTTGTAGGTACCTGTGTATGTATGCATTTATATGTGCCTATGTGGTGTGTGTGTATGTGTGTGTGTGTGTCTGTCTGTCTGTATGTATATATGCATGTGTGCCTATGTAGTGTGTGTGTATGCATGTATATATTATGTATCTGTGCCTTGTAGTATGTGTGTGTGGTGTGTGTGTGTGTTGTATTCATGTGAGTATGTAATAAGCACACACCTGTGTGTGAACATTCAGAAACCAAAGCAGGGTGTCAGGTGTCTTTCTTTACTGCTTTCCATGATATTTCCTTGAGACAGAGTCTCTCAATGAACCAGAATCTGAGCTTTTTGACTAGGCTAGGCTGGCCTGCGAACTCTTGGGCTCTGCTTGCCTTTACCTCCTAATGCTAGAGTTACAGGCATGTGCAGCCCTGTTGGCATTTTACATGGGTGATGGGGATTTGAACTCAGGTCTTCATACTTGTACAGCAAGTGCTCTTACCCAGTAAGCCATGTTCTCAGAACCTCAGTCTTCCAGGCTTTTTCCTTTTTTTAAATGCTACTATGGCATGGGACTCTGGGCCTGCAAGTGTGAAAGCCCAGAAGTGTGTGGTAGATAATGCCCCTAACAACCGTCAACAAATGAAGATGAACGTATTTGTTGGTCCTTTGTTAGAAAATCCTGGGGGCATTCTGTGTGCTTCTCAGAAGGTTTATGCATACCGAGCCCCACCCACCTTTGGAATGAGACCACCTTAAACACTTGCGTTTCCTTTCCTTTCCTTACTGTCTCACGCTCCTTAGTCTTGATTTCCACTTTGGATGGAAACCTGGCTAAGGCAGGAGAGACTCACTTTAGCAACGCCTTGAAGTTGAGCCATCCTTCTCTCCTTTTTTCAGACACCAGCAACTTGACCTTCAGAAAAGGGCACTCGGGGGCCACAGCGTCCACTTCTTGGGCCACTTCATCCCCGACCACAATGGCCCTGGCCTTGGATGACTGCAGCCTGTAGAGTATGTCTGAGGATTTCAGCTGGATGGTTCCAGGCATGAAAACAAGGCCTGGAGAAGACAAATGGCTTAAAGAGAGCGAGGAAGGGAATTGTCTTCCTCCCCAGAGAAGGGCCGTGAACAGCCATGGGGGCCAACAGGGAAGGGCAGGTGGGATGTGAGGACCAATAGGGCGTAAGGACAGCATGTTCTGTGGGGAGGTCTTTGGGGAGAGGAAGCTGAAGTTCTCTGCCCTGCGTTTCCTTTCCAAGAGGAAGTGCCCAGCCTGTGTGGGCAGTTACTAACCAGTCCGAAAGCAGCCCAGGGTCACCAGCCACCATTCCGGGACTTGGGGAAGTACCACTGCCACACGATCCCCACGCTGCAGGCCACAGGCCCCCGAGAGGACATTGGCTGCCTGTTGGCTGATGTCACTCAGTTCTCTGAAGTTCCACTTTACCTCTTGCCCACTACCACTCACCCACCACAGGGCTGGACGTGGAGGTCTCTTGCCAGCCTGAGAAAAGAGATGGCCTAGTGATCAGAAGACCCATGGGGACACAGCAAATAAAACAAATTGCAAGTCTAGGGGTAGGCTTATTGATCCGAGGACATCCACACACTATTAAAAAGTCTTGAAAACCTTCAAATATTTGTTTTAAATGAGGGTTAGACTTATCAATACTATATTAAAACAGAGGCTTTTTGTTTGGGAGGCACCCAGGCAGTGGGACCAGATCTTGTGCTCATTGCATGAGTTGGCTGTTTGAAACCTGGGGCCTATGCAGGATTGTTTGGCTCGGCCTGGGAGGAGGGGACTAGACCTACTTGGACTGAGTCTACCAGGTTGACCTCAGTCTGTGGGGAAGGCTTTGCCCTGGAGGAGATGGGAATGGGGGGGGGGGGTTGGGGGGAAGGTGAGGGGGACGGGAGGGGGGAGAACAAGGGAATCCGTGGCTGATATGTAGAACTGAATTGTATTGCAAAATAAATTAATAAAAAAATAAAAAATATATATATATATATATAAAAAAAAACCACATGTATACCAAGGCAATAAAAATGTATAAACACAAAAAAAAAAACAGAGGCTTTTAATATGCATGCTTCAAAAAATAACAGTTAAAACATACTCTGTATTACCATGACAGACAATTTTGATTGCTAGCAGGATTGGCTTGAAGATGCCTAAGAGATGAGTGAAGTGCACCTCTGAGGTATGACTGTGTGTTTCCAGAGATGACTGGATAGTGTGGGCTCTGATAGAATCAATGAGCTAGTGGCTTGATGGATTCATAATATGGCATTGGGGAATGGGGAAAGCAAGAAGTGGGTCCTGGGTAGAGGAAGTGAGTTGGGAGACATCCTTGGGATTGGATCTTTCCCCGGACCTTTTCACTGTCATAAGTTTCATTATTTCCCCCTTGATTATTATTGCTTTCCATTTTGCTGTTTATTTCCTTTTGTTTATTTAACTATTTCTTTCATGGATTCCAAATTGAAAACTGTAGCAGTAAGACCTTTCCTCAGTATTCCAAGGAGGAATAAGTAAACAAACAAACAAAAAAAAATTAAGAAGCTAGCTGAGGAGACCATTGAATCAATAAAGTGCTTGCCATGGAAACGTTAGGACCTGAGTTCCACCCCCAGAACATACATTAACCAAAAGTCAGTCATGGTGATGCACAGTTGTAATTCATGCACTGTGGAGGTGGAGTCAGGTAGATGCCTGAGGCTTGCTGTCCAGTCAGTCCAATGTACTTGATGAGCTCCTGGTCAGTGAAAGACCCCATTGTAGCACAAATCCTAATTGGTCTTAATAATAAAAACCCAGAGTCAGATAGAGGGGTAAATGCTTAAAGATCAGAGAGACAAAGGAGCGAGCCACAGGCACTTCTTATGTCTACCGAATCCTCAGACCAAAAAGGGGCTGAGCTCCCTTCTCCTCCCACCTTATAATCCTCTCTCCACCCAGCCATATCACTTCCTGTCTCTACCTCCCTAGTGCTGAGATTAAAGGTGTGAGATCCCAAGTGCTGGGATCAAAGGTGTGTGCCACCACTGCCTGGCTCTGTTTCTCTTTTAGACCGGATCAATCTTGTGCAGCCCAGGTTGTCCTTGAACTCACAGAGATCCTGCTGCCTCTGCCTCCCAAGTGCTGGCATTAAAGGTGTGTGCCATCACTGCCTGGCTTCTATGACTAACCAGTGGCTTAGCTAAACACTTTGATCTTCAGGCAAGCTTTATTTGTTAAACTACAAACAAAATATCACCACATTTCTGTAGTGTTATGTTGTGTACCCTAAATAAACTTGCATGGGGATTGGAGGACAGAGCCAGCCACTAGATTAGACATAGAGGCCAGACAGTGGTGGCACACACCCTTAACCCTATCACTCGGGAGGCAGAGATTTGTCTAGATCTCGGTGAGTTCAAGTCCACACTAGAAACAGAGCCAGGCAGTAGTGGCAGCACACACCTTTAATCCCAGTTCTGAGAAGCACACACGCCTTTAATCCCAGAAAGTGACATGGCTGGGCAAAGAAAGGTATATAAGGCACGAGGAAACAGGAACTAAAGCAGTTCAGCTGAGACCCATTTGGGTGAGGACTCAGAGGATTTCAGTCAGAAGATTCATGGAGTTGGCAAGGTGAGGTTGGCTGTGGCTTGCTCTGCTTCTCTAATCTTTCAGCTTTCACCCCAATATCTGGCTCTGGATTTTTTATTGAAAGAACATTTAACATTTGAACAACACATTCCCCCTTTTTTGTCTAAAAATTAAAAAGAATGTTGTAACTAATATAAGAAAAAACTATATACAAGAAGTATAATAACTATATACAATATATGTACAGTCAATAAATATATCAACAATGTCTAGTCCATTAATAATTGATGAATTCAGAGAAAATACCCCATATCTATCCTATCTTGGTGAGTCCAAAAGGTTGTACCTAATTCACTTTCTATTGTAATTTTCATTACCAAAATTATCTTTTAATGTCTCTTAACCTTATACAGTTTACACCTCTTTAGTGAATTTCTTTTCTGAATCTGGTAACAAGGAAAACTATAGCTATAACTATAAAGTCTTCAGCTCAATCAGAGACCCGAGAAGGAAATAATATTATGTGAGTAAGCAGAAGTGGAAGCAAGCAACTTCCAAAAAACTGTCAGAAATGAGAGAAACAGCTGACTGCCTGGACAGGCACCCAAGGTTCCTCTGCAACGTTGGGGCACCCATCTTCACCCTACAGGCCTAACATATCTGACAGACTTTTCTGTGAAACAGGATTTTCTGGAGGGCTGTCCTATCTTGTCTTGGCAAAGTTCAGCAGTCACTTCCTTTTGTGTCCTGCTTGTCCAGTTTGGACAGCATACTGTCAGCAGTTAGGCAAGGGCAGTTTCTTTTTTGCCAGAAAGAAATCGAACTCCATATGGATTTTCTTTGATGCCCATCATCTTTTCTGAAGTAGATTGGTGTTGCCAGGAGAACCTATGTTATTAAAACATCTTAAATCCCATATTCTGGAGATCTCTGAAGTGTTTGAAGATGACCTGTCTATCTAAAATATACATCTATTTCACCTTGAAAACATGCCTAACATGACTACAAGTTTAATTGTAATAGGTGACTAACTACTAACCTGCATTTCTTTATTATCCTAAATAGATTATAATAATAACTTTCAAGGACTAGCAATTTGCATTACATTGTTAAAGGAGATTGTAATTGAGGACCAGCCTTCAAGACTGCTGTAACAAAGTCTCTCCAGTCTTGAGGGATAATTCAATTACAAGTTGACCATGAGTTTAACATCTTCTTCACAAAAGGTGACTGCATACCATATGACACTATCGCTTCCTTGAATCTCCTCAAATCTAACATTTGCACAGGAGTCCATTCAGCTCTTACACAGCCTTGGGGATATCTATCAATTGGCAGTTCCTGTAAGGTTACTGGATAAATTAAGGTTGGCTATTTGAAAACCTTATGCTGCTCCTCTGTAACCTCATAATTCAATGCTGAGATTAGTTCTTTAAATTCCTCTGTCTGAATCTGAATGTCTTTATGATCTGTTTTAATAAGTTTTTCTAAAACTTTAATCTTGGCACTCATATTAACCAAATTTTTAAATGATAAAACAAAAAATGATCAAACAGATAATATTTATAATTGACATTATGTAAATCCCATCAACATTATCCTCAACATTAATTATCCTCTCATCTAATTGTTCCATTTTCAAACTGTGCATCATGTAATCATACAAAGACCTAACTCTTTCCATTGTAATAGTGTTTCCCTTTTTTTTTTTTTTTTTTTTTTTTTTTTTTTGGTTTTTCGAGACAGGGTTTCTCTGTGTAGCTTTGCACCTCTCCTGGAACTCACTTGGTAGCCCAGGCTGGCCTCGAACTCACAGAGATCCGCCTGGCTCTGCCTCCCGAGTGCTGGGATTAAAGGCGTGCACCACCACCGCCCGGCTGTGTTTCCCATTTTTAATGTGGAAAAAAAACCCTCTCTTTTTTTTGTAAACTAATTCTCTCCTTTAAGAATTTCCAATTGTCTCACCAAATCTGCATGATGACGATTCAGATGTGAGGCTTCTGGGTAGAACAATAGAAGCCAGAGTGGGTTTTCAAGGCAGCTACCTAGTTTGATAGCAGCCTGAAGAGAGAGTCCAGTGAAAGCCCCCAACCTGCCAAGAGAAAAGAAGCCAAAGAGCCAGATGTCTGCATGGGGGTATGCGTGAAAGTGGCTAACTCCTGTGGCATTTGGAGCCCAAATTCCTGTGTGTGGAGTTTGCTGCAGAGAAGCTACAACAAAAACATCCCAAAAGAAAGGAAAACCTAACTGGTAGTGTAGTGACTCTGGCCACATGCAGCTCTGGCCTGTGCTGGTAGCTGCAAAGTCACAGGCAAGTGACTTTGGTGAACTTGTGCCCCAGAAGTTGAACACCAGGTGTAGTGCAAATCCTAATTGGTCTTAATAATAAAAACCTGGAGTCAGATATAGGGGTAAATACTGAAAGATCAGAGAGACAAAGGAGCAGGCCACAGTCACTTCTTACCTCTAGTGAATCCTCAGACCAAAAGGGGGCTGAGCTCCTGTCTCTTCCCATCTTATACTCCTCTCTCCACCCAGCCATATCACTTCCTGCCTCCACTTCCCTAGTGCTGAGGTTAAGAGAGTGAGATCTCAAGTTCTGGGATCAAAGGTGTGTGCCACTACTGCCTGGCCTCTATGGATAACTAGTTGCTAGCTCTGCCCTCTAATTTTCAGGCAAGCTTTATTTGTTAGATCACAAACAAAGTATCACCACACCCTGTCTCAAAAACCAAAGTGGTGGAACTGAAGAAGGGCACCTGAGGTTGACCTCTGGCCTCAATTTGCACTAACACATATAAACATGTACATATGTGTATATATTAGTACATGCATAGAAAAAGGATACTTTTTGTTGTTGTTAATCATCACTCTTGTCACACAGTTCCTTTCTCTGTGTTGAAACAGTC